TAGGGTTGGTTGTAATTTGGTCGTCCGAACTCCGATTCGAGGGTGAAGTCTAGGCAACACTTGGTTGATAGGTCAAGAGATCTACTTTGGTAGCTTGAATTGGAATCCCTTGGTCTATTGATCGAGAGAGTAGCGTTTGATCACTAGTTGCACTTCCCAAATGTTTACAACCGCTTTTCCCACACCAATGAATCTGATCCGATAAGTCATTATTTTTAGCTAGGGTCAATGCAGCCAAAATCGAGATTTTGATCGTATAAGAAAAAAATAGGTGATTTGAGCCAATTTAAAAGAAGTATAACTGTTTCGATGAAAAGGGCAATGATGAGAATCTTCTATGATATTTGTCTATTAAAAACATTTAAAAATAATAAAAATAACCCAATTAGGGTTCGTTCAATCCCTTTCCCTGCGCTCATTTAACTTATTGGTAAAACAATTGTACTAATATTGGAAGTACGTAAAAATTAACATCATTATTAACTAGGCAAAATACACTTCTATATCCATAACTTTCATGTTTGTGACAAATATATCCATAACTATTGAAATACACGAAATACCCAAAAAATTGTACTATCGTGTGACAAATCTATCCATTTCCGTTACAAACTATAACGCCGTTTGTTACGGCGTCAGTAAATAGGACGGAATAGTGAGTAGGACCATAATCTTCTGCCACCTAAGATCCAGGTCAGCAAAGGGAACCACGTGGACGCCATGTCAGAAAATTTCCCCCCTTATACCCTACACCGTCGAGAAAAAAATTTCCCACCCACCCCCTTTTCTCAAACTCGATTTACGATTTAGGGTTCCATCGGCTGCGCTGGAGAAGAGCTCGCCCGCCGCCGATCCAACGGTTCCCTCCGACAGCAGCCTCACCGCGCCCCTTGCCACGTCCCTGGCGGCGCCTCCACGCTACGATCTAGGGTTTCACATTCACATTTCTAATCCCTGTTCGAATCTGCTCTGTCGCTTTCCAACCTTTAAAGCAAGCTTCGACAATTGAAAGCCACAACACAATAAACCAAATAAGAACCTTTTGCCCACAATTGAAAGCCACGACCCAAGTAATTGAAGGGTACCCAGTGCTCACCAGCTTCCAAAACCGAAGAGAAAAGAAATCGATTGATGGTTGCGATTAGGGTTTTCGGAAAAACCCTTTCTCGGCGGTCCTAGGCTTCGACGGTGCCTTTGCCATGAACAGAACGCTTGGGTTTCGTCGGGAAACAGCCGTCGTCAGTCTATTACCTCGGAAGATGCATGCACGACAACATATAGCAAAGGCGGCGACGGCGGGGGATGGAACGAAATAGGGGGGGGGGGGGGGATCGACCGTCGTGGTCGGAGGGAAGAAAGGGAAGAAAGGGAGATGAAGGGGCGAAGGGAAATTTGGGGATACCTCGTTGACCTTCGAAACTGGCGGGGGATGATCCTCGTCGACCGTCGTGGTCGGAGGGAAGAAAGGGAAGAAAGGGAGATGAAGGGGCGAAGGGAAATTTTGGAGAAGAAAGTGAATCAGTGGGGATTAGTGGGGGTGCAAAACGCAATATCGTTTTTCCTCGTTTTTTTTTCCACGTGGATTAGTGGGGATGCTAAAATGCCAACTCAGCCTTCCCGTCAGTACAGTCACCCAGTTACTTCACACCGTTAAATGGAAGATCGAAATTGGGTATTTCGTGTATTTCAATAGTTATGGATATATTTGTCACAAACGTGAAAGTTATGGATATAGAAGTGTATTTTGCCTATTAACTATTTAGTGTATTAATGAATATATTTGTACCAAGCCACTAGCATTACTTATTTTATTAGAGTTCAAATAATTTTAGTTTTAAATCATACTTAGACGATGTTGGAATATTACTTTGAGTTAAACTACCTAGACACAACATGAAAACAAGAGACAAACCCATTGAGCTTTATCCCTTCCTCATGAATTATTTTGAGTTACGCATTTAATAACAATTAAAATATTAATTTTGGAACATTAATCTTGAGAATTATCTTTTGTAAAAAAATATTGAGAATTATAATTTTAAAGGTTATGTGTCTTTGTATTATTAATGATTTACCTTATTAATATTATTATAGGTTATGTTCTATATGGTACTTAAAATCCTACGATTTTACGATTCGATTTTCAGATCCCTATTTTACTCCAGTTTTTTATATTAAGTAAAATTCCGATTTTGACTGTTTTGGCTAGGGGGAGCAACACCCGAGTGAAACCTTCTCAATTAATGTCTAATCTATTTACTTTTCCAAACGTTTTAGTTATAGATCGTTGTTTTTACCAAAAAACAATTTCTAAATAATGTTTCAAACAATCGAAGTAGAGGTATATGGTCCGGCTCGGGTTGATATTTACACATACTTGCCCTATATTACAACCGGTTAAGGTTTATAGTTGGGACTTTTAATTGAAAATTTTATTGTGATATTCGAGACAAGTCACGCACAGACTAAACGTAGTGGTTCTCCTGGTAGTCGAAACTTGGATAGCAGATAGCAAAATAAATAAAAACAATAACAGATAATATACACAAACTTTAATTAATTAAAGACGCAAGTAAGTCGGATTTAATTTTAATGTTCCCCAAGAAAATCTCTCCCCAAATTACTATTCATTACTGATGTGAGTAGGTGTGGCCGAACCCACTAAAACTTCCAGTCCTTTTTTCTTTCTAATTGGACCATGTTTTTTACCACCAATTATTTCGGTACCCTTCTTCTTCTTGGAGCATTATTTTAATAAGCCATTATTATCATTAATTATATGTAAAGCTTCTGTATTTATTAATATACTACGTAAAGTTTATGATGGATAATTGTTTGTTATTAAGTGAGTCTTCCGTGATATAATGAACAAAAATTCATTTGTTATTGACTAAACTGTTGATCATCTTATCAATTTACATTGCATAAAGATTTTGCAAGATCATTATGCCTTTATTTTTTGCCAACATAAAAATCATGTTAATATAAGTTTGAATGAACATTCCTTTCTTATTTCTCAATTGTTGACCATCTCATCAATTTGCCTACATTAAGGTTCAACAAAGTAAAAAGTTTTATATAATATTTTAATTAAATACAATACTTTACATAACTTAATTTTTTATTATCAAGTAAATAATGACCATGTCATTGATTGCGTTACACAAAGATTATGTAAAGTCAGTTAATTTTTACATAATAGTTTCAAAAAGATGTGATCCGTTCAATAACTTGATTTTATTATTAATGCACACATTATGTATGATTACACAACATTATATATAGGAACTATGTAAATTACAAATACACACGAAAAAATTATGGATGTGTTGATATTTCTTATGTGTCAGTTAAACAAATACAATACGCAAGTCTTTCATAATATATGTAAACGATTGACCATCTTTTCAATTTTCATTATTAAAAAATTATGTAATTTTTTTTACATAACACTTTAATCAAATATTATTCTTTCTGTCACTTAATTACTTAATTATAACTAAAAGTACTTCATTCTTAATAAAACATTCACCATATTATCAATTTTTAAATTACACAAATGTTTTCTAAGGTCAATTAAATTTTATATTACCATTTTGTCAAATGTGAAGCATTCTGAAACTTAATTTTATTAGTAGACTACACATTACAGAAGATTTACATAACACCCTTCTATAACAATTATACAAATAACAAATAGACTACACAAAATTTATGAACGAATATTTAGTTTTTATATATCAATTAAACAAACTTATTACGTAAATATTCTGAAATTATTAAGATAGTATGTAAAGCTTATAACGGAATAATGATTTCTTATGTATCAATTAAATAAATCTATGACATGAATATTTATGGGTATAACTTATGGGTATATCTAACATTAAGTAAAACTTATGGGTATATAGAACTTGAAAGATTTTGTGAATTATTTGATTGCAAGTTTATTATAAAATAAGTATATGAAATTTTAAATATAATTATCGTTGCGGAGTGCGGGCCTAACAACTAGTATTAATAATAATTTAAGTAAATGAGTATAGCTTGCCAACAAAAGGCCTTTTATCATCCATTGGGTAAGCTTCATCTATCAAAAATTTCTATAACCACATATAATGCCACAATTAGTGGTTGATTTGATTCATCTATGGGAAAACCTTTTTTTTGTTTGGGCTAATAACTCGCAGTAGCTGAATATTAACAGTAAATGGATTATACAATACGCAAAAGATGACTAACCTCTTTGAGCAATGAAAGGGATATATAGCTACTGAGAATATCAACAAAGGGGGATCAGTTTGGTATTGGGAACTAAGTAAGTAGTTGGATTGGGACAAGTGTGTTGTTGGTTTTGATTGAGCATTGATGAAAGAAAGAAGGAAAAAAGAAGAGAAATTGGGTTTTGTTTTAGACACTAGCTAGGTATAGAAAGCTGGGGTAGCCGTGACAGAGTGAGTATGTGGAGGAAGCTAAGTGAAGATGGTGGCAAATTGCAGAGACAAATTAAGTCGTTTCATAGTCACTACTCCACATGTGTTGTTGCACAGGGAGAGGAGATTATACAAGTAATTGGAAATCAGAATCAAACTGGCTTTTGGTTTTGTTGCATGACGTGGAATCCGTTCCCATCCACTCGTTGCCGTGGTATCCAAGTACAGTTACGTCCCTTGTCCCAATCCATGTTCCAAACCGGCTCTGTTTTTTTTCTTTTGTATTATCAGGATGCAATTTCCACAATTGATTGTTCTTTCTTGGATTCCTAATTGATTGATGATCTATCTCCAAACTGTTCATTGTGTGCATCTACAAAGTGTTATGAGACGTAAATTTTGCGAAGAAGAGAATCTTGGGTGAAACCTGTACATCACATAATGCAACCTAGCTAGAGTAGAGCTAGCTAGGGGTATATGTAATGCAGCAAAAGTAAAGCACTAAAACATGACGTGTTAAAACATTACTCAGCAACCACCAATAAGTCTGAGTGAGCAAACACCATTGGACAGGACTCTTGTTTTTTTCTTCTTCTTTTTCTTAAAGCCTCCTTTAATTTGCCGCATCATAATGGAATGATTTATATATATATATATATATATATATAAGAAGAACACAGGCATATTATATCCATGCCAACACCCAACACACTTGATCAGTTAGGTTGCACAAACACGCCAAGAGCTTTATTTATGGTTTCCCCCCATCATATAAGCAGCTAGCTTTGCCTTCAACTTGTCTCCATCTCTTGGGCAAAGCAAAAACCAAGCACAAGCACAAGCCGAGGGTCGATGACGATTCTCAACGGGGCACCAAATGGTCTCTTGGAAAGGTCGAAGCCATTCATTGCCATTACATTCTTGCAAATCGGGCTTGCCGGAATGGACATCTTGTCCAAGGCTGCCCTGAACCAAGGAATGAGCAACTACGTGCTCGTTGTCTATCGTCATGCGGTCGCCACTCTTGTCATTGCCCCGTTTGCCCTCATTTTTGATAGGTAATCCAAATCTCTTGTACGAATTCACTCTTTAGTTTCCTAGATATGAATATGATCTCTTTTTGTTCTTCATCCATCACATGAAATTCTGTACATGTGCGAAGCTTAATTAATTAATGTGTTTCATGCACCGTGCGTAAAATTTGATTAGGAAAGTAAGACCCAAGATGACATGGTCCATAATGATCAAGATAATGGTGCTCGGCTTACTAGAGTAAGTCCCTCCTACTTTACTTTCTTTTCTACCAAAAAAAAAAGGCTTACTAATTAACTAGCTAGAGTAAATCGGGTAATGATCAAGATAATGGAGCTAATTGGTACATGTTGGTTGTGACATAGGCCTGTGATAGACCAAAACTTGTACTTCTTAGGGATGAAGTACACAACGGCTACCTTTGCGGCGGCCATAATCAACATCCTTCCTGCCATCACCTTCGTCATGGCTTGCATAGTCGGGTAAATGAATTCTTTCAAAGGAATCAATGAAGCCAGATTAATTGATCGCCTTCTTCATTGCCTAGCGCAGCTTAGTGGTTGGCGTTTAATTTGTAGGCTGGAGAAGGTCCGACTCAAGTCTGTCCACAGCCAGGCAAAGGTGACGGGGACGACGGCGACGGTGGCAGGAGCCATGGTGATGACACTAATCAAAGGTCCAGTGGTGGAGTTGTTGTGGACAAAGGGCAGGACCTTCCACGCCGGGCAGGGGACTGCTGGGGTTGACCTCCACAGCTCCATCAAGGGTGCCCTTCTGATCACCGTAGGGGCGTTTAGCTGGGCCGGTTTTGTGATTCTGCAGGTGGGTGTGTGTGTCGGAACGGAAACTAAGTTAATGCTACTACTCAACAAAATGCATGTGTCTCTAGATAGATCTGTCTGTCTGTCTTTTGGGCTGATTAATTTTGTTCCAGGCCATCACTCTCCAGACGTATCCAGCTGAACTGTCTTTGACTGCTTTGATTTGCCTAATGGGCACCGTAGAAGGGGCCATAGTGGCGCTTGTGATGGAAAGAGGGAACCCTCAAGTTTGGGCTCTCAACTGGGATACCAAGCTCCTTGCCGCAGTATACAGTGTATGTGGAGATGATCATCCTCATATTCATCAACAACACAAAATCATGCATCATTCATAAATAAGACACTAACCAACCAACCAAAATGCAGGGGGTGGTGTGCTCAGGATTGGCTTATTACATTCAAGGGTTGGTGATGAGAGTTCGAGGCCCTGTGTTCGTCACGGCTTTCAGCCCGCTTTGCATGGTGGTGGTGGCCATAATCAGCTCCATCATTTTTGCAGAACAAATGTTTCTCGGAAGGTACCAACCATGCCATCCCAGTCATCACAATTTCTGCCAATTGGGAATACAAATTTACCTATTAACTCACTAACTCTCTTTTCATCCAATGAACAACAGGGTAGTAGGAGCTGCAATCATAGTAGCAGGGCTGTATCTGGTAGTTTGGGGTAAAAGCAAGGACTACGATGATCAAATCACTCCTTCAAAGCCAGATGAACTACAAGTGATTCCGACCACCCAAACTCCATGCGGCCACAGAGGAAACTACAATGATCATAACCATCATCAACATGATCTGACAATTCATCAAGCTTCAGCTGTAACAATCAAGGACCAAAGTTCTACAGACCATCAGGCTGACATTCCACCTAATTTAACTACTACTGCCTAGAGAATATGCTAACTATGGTATATCCTTAGCGAGAGCAAACCAAGAATGTACGCACTCGCTAACTTAATTAAGAGGGAAATCTTCTGTATTAACTATCTCCCAAAGATTGTCATCAATATTGCAGGAACTTGTTTCATTTGCTCTTCGCCAAACAGAATATTTGGGTTTGGAGAAGAATATTAGTTGGCCACACAACACTTACTTCAGATTCAGGATCCTCTAATAATCCTAACAAGAATCATAAACAACGCATATATCATCTACAAAAGTCCCAGCTTAACTTTTCTTAGGGTTCAATGGCGTGGAGCCCGTTCCCATCCCACTCTTTGCCCCGGTATCCAAGCATAGTCCGTTCTCCTAGTCCAAAAATCCAATTGAACCGACTCTGTTTTGCAATATGAATTACGATTATCATCTTGTACATGAATCTTGGGAGTAGATGTGATTTGGGCCCAAATGTACACATTTTACCCCTCATTTTTTATCTGTTTAGCTTAGTATTTCATAGTTCCTCGACATATTTCACGCTAGGTTGTGCTTGTTTTGATACATTTCAGGTCCTAGCAAGTGTGGAAGGGTCGAGGACGAGTTTTGGGATATTTGGAGGTCAAAAAGCGCAAAAACCGAAGAAAAGTCCGAAGCGACCGTGACAATTGCGTCGTAACAGTGAAGTGAAGGCGTCCAAGGAAACAACCGCAGTTCACGGCCGGACGAGGCAGTTCACGGTCTTTTAAGACCGTGAACTTTGACCACAAACCGTGAATACCGAGGTGTCCAGCGAGGTTTTTGAAGTTACTGACGACAAGGCAGTTCACGGTCTCTAAGACCGTGAACTGTGGTCATTGACCGTGAACCCAGGACAGTGAATCAGTGCATTTGGGACGACGCTGAGTTCACGGACGCGTTTAGGTGTTCACGCCGTGAACTGATCGCTTTCGGGCAAATATGAAGACATTAGCGGGGAGAGAGAAAGGAGGGTTGGTTTTTGGAGAAGAAACACTTTCTTTCTCTAGGGTTTCAACCTAAACACCAAAGGGCAGTTCTAGTGAGAGAGAGGGTGCTAGAGTGATCTTGGAGCATCATTGGAGGCTTGGGTGGAAGATTCAAGCCTAGAAGAAGAAGAAGAAGAAGATCTTGAGCTCAAATTTGTAATCCCTCTCTCTCTAGAAACTCACTCTTTTCTCTTGGATGTTGTAGATCCCTAACTAATACTTTGTAATTACTTGTTTAGATTGAATGATTGTCATTGGGTAGTGTATAATTCAAGGATTGAGGTATTATTCATGTCGATTGTGCATGCTCGTGCTTAGCAATCTAAGGGTTGTGCATATTTTGTGCTTAGCATCCTTAGGTTTGTGCATTGAGGTGCTTAGCAACCTAAAGATTGTGCATAATTGTGCTTAGCACCCTTAGGTTTGTGCATGTTGGTGCTAGCAATCTAATTAGCCACTTTAACCTAGGTTAATTTAGGACAAACCTCAATGTTCAATTAAGCAAATTGGTTAAGCGTGATTAAGCCGTCCAACCTGTAGTTGAGTGAGGGAGTAAGTCAACTACCGATTGTCTAAACCGAGAGGGTCGAGTGGCACAGCCTTTCATGCTTACCTCGGTTTAGCAATTGAGTTTGTGGTCTCCGACCACATATGCATCCCTCTGCGGTACGCAGTTACCAGTTTGCATCTAGGTTGGCTGTGATTAAGCCGCTCAAACTCCGGTTTGTGGAAGAGACCTAGACAACCACTAGAGCCTGAGTGAGAGGATCGATCTCGTGACAAATCGATCTCTAGCGAATCCATCCCGTGACAAATGGATCGCTAGTTGCTTCTCCTAGTGGTTCCCCTAGACATGGTGAGTGGATCGATCTCGTGACAAATCGATCGCTAGTGAACTGATGCCGTGACAGATTGATCACTAGTTGCTCACCCCTGAGGTTCACAACCACCTACGCCTCACGCCTTCATTCAATCCAACGAGTCATGGTAGCTAGTTATGGGGAAGCAATTCCTGGGTTAAGCTCCCTTAGTTAGAATTTTCCTTTATTTACTTTTCTTTACTTGGTTAGTTTGTAGTTCCAATAAACCTAAACCCTAAAGTTGCTTGCTAGATAACAAGTTAAGCGATCAAAGTAGGGGTACATGGATCGGCCGGGTTGACAATTTAAATACTTGCTCTATGCTGCACCCGGCTAGAGTTTAAAAACTTGGTCTCTAGTCGGAATTAATTTGTGGTGTAGTTTCGTGCGAGTCAAGATGTAATGAACTTAAGTCTAGAAGGAGTTAGTCGTAAGTAGTAAAATTAGAAGGATTGTTTCAGATATTATACAAGCTATAAAAGCTTTCATCTGCTATACTGGAGAAATCAATTGAATAACAAATAACAATTTTCCCAACTCTTTCTTCCCTTTATTTCTCTTCTTCTATGTTCTTCCTCTTCTCCTTCTTATCAATCTCCCTTCTCTCCTCAATCCTCCTTCCTCTTTTCAAACCCTTCAATCCTCCTCTTCACCTCCGGCTTGTGATTACGAATTCGCCGAGACAAGATCCAGCAAGGGCAGGACATCACAACTTGGTATTAAGCCAATTCTTGGCAACAATGGTGCTAGAATCGGGCGATAGGATATTCGAAGCTCTGAACTTGACGTTCGACAGCATGGAAGGCCGATTTGAAGAGATACTGCACCGATTGAATGAAGTACGGCAACAAAGGTCAGCGGGGGTGGTGGATAGCGAGGAAGGTCCAGTCTTTAGCGACCCACCAACAATTCAAGAGTGCCAACCGCCAACTGTTCGACGAATTGATGAGTAGAAGGTTTCTACGACGATGACTCCTTTGCATGTGGTAGTTTCTTTTGCCGCCATTCCAGCTCGTAAGTCTTCCAAGCATCTCCCTGCCGCAACTGGAATTCACAACCTCCCAAATGGTAATTCTCCATCTACTCAGCTTTTGGAGTTTCCCTCTTTCGTCAACGAGTTTAACGAGCTTAGGCAGCAAGGATCGTTGTAAGAGTATAAAGCACAGTTTGAGAAATTGAAATCACTGATGGCTCGATTTAGTCATGCATTGGGCGAGGAGTTTTTCATTTTGAGGTTTATCAGTGGTTTAGAGGAAGAGCTACAGCCAATTCTATCCATGTTGCAGTCCTATATTAGAACATTAGCTCAAGCCTACAATCGAGCTCAATGGGAAGAAGATGTCATTGCGGCCTGCAAATAACAGCTTGGCGAGCTTGGTGATTTCGTAGGTTCGGAGGAACGGACAACGACTATGACTGTGGAATGTTTTCTTCCTTCAACATGGTTGATGGGAATGGTTATTTAATTGTTGAGGGATAGCGAGACAAAGGTGAACACAACTCACAACCCTGTTTCTGAATCATTTTCCCCTCCAACATTGGGTTCCATAATTAGCTTTGTAAGGTTATTGCATCTCGAAATGGGGTTGTGGTAGCCAATCCAAGTCTGCCCAGTGGTGTTTTGCCTGTGAGAAGTGACAGTTTGGCATTGGCTTGTGCGAAGTGTCCTGCAAAGGATGGTGAGCTGGTCTTGGAGCACCTCGATGTAGACAATCAAACTGCCAAACTGATGGTAAAGCTAACTAGGAGTCAAGACTATGAGAATGGATTGAGCACTACAACCACACTGACATCAGTTACGATCAATCCAAATGGAATTAAGGTGGCTAAGATCAACGCTGCCCATGAATCCAAACTGCAGTGGATGCTACATCAGTTGGGGAGAACCTTGTAGGGGATTTTGCTACTTTTTTTTTATAGAGATGGGCGCAAGGAAGCTGCTCCAGATTCAAATTCAGGAAGTTTGGTGTTGCTAGTTCAAGCAAAAATTTGGCAAACTGCTTTTAAGATTGGAATGCCAATCATGAAGAACTTGCAAGGAAATGGCGACTACATGGCAATTTTTGTTCCTCCTAAGGCAACAAAGATAAGTTCTAAGACAATTGACGATATCCTAGTTCCTGTGATGTCCACTGCGGAAATTGAGTTTGTTTTCATTGTAATCAATATGATTTAGGAGAGAGAAATGTAATTCCCAAGATGTTTAAACCACCACGTATTTAATCGCTCTCGGGCTTAAGCCCACTTCTTTCTCCTCTCATCCTTCTGACCGCCGGCCCACTTCTACCTTCCGTTCTTTTCTTCTCCCTGGGCCGACAACCCAGCTCTCTCTTCTACTTTCCTTCTTTTTTCTTCTTTCTAATCTAACTCGGCCTAAGCCCACTCTTCCATCTCCTTCCCTTCACCCAATGACCCAACACACCAAGGGCTTGAGCCCATTTCTTTTCTTTCTTTTATTCCAGCCACCCACGAACCCAAAACCAGACTCACTCGGCCCAAATTTTTAATTGGGTATTGGTTCAAACTCAAAACTCATCTACGTCCATAACTTTCTCGTTTTACATCGAAATTCGACAGCGTTCGAACTGGTAGTTCCCGTTTTTAATCCTCATCTATATTATGGTGGAACTTGACGAATTAATCTAAGGGTAAAATAGTCATTTTGAATTTTAGAAAGAGCGGGGTGTAACAATTATTATTTTACTTGATGATGGATCTTAGCATTCACGAGTCAAAACCACCACGTATGAAAGCCACCTAACTGTTCCTCAAATGCGTCAATCTCGAATCACAAGGCTTACATTGCGGAACCTGGGAATTGGACTTATCACGTCGAGCCCATTTGCACCAAACATCACAAACTTGAACTTGGAGAAGCTTATATACTTAAACAACACATAGTGGCCACGAGTGAGAGAATAGCGACCTGCAAACTCCTGCCAGCCACTCCTCAGGCAAAAACCCCTACCATCCTCGTAGAACTCAACCTTCACCTTTGGTGGATCTCGAACAGTTGGTTCCAGAACTACAGGGTTGGTCGGATTAACCCTCCCATATTTGCTAACAAACTCTAGTGGAATCAGCTGATACATAATAAAAACCTGCAAAAGTTTGGCATTCACGTAATTTTTTTCTCGTGTACGTAACATGCATATTTTATTTTACGTGTATACGAAATTTCAAAAATACCGAGATAATTAATGAGTAACTTTCACAATTCTCACAGGGGGCGACACGTGTTGTAGCTCCGCCCCTTAACGATAAACAAAATTCATCTGCCCAACTGTTCAATTAAAAATTTACAAAGCTAGTGGAATATAGAAACGAAACATGATCATCATATCAAGTTCATGTTAGTTCATGTCACAATAATCTTTTATTGTACATATCAAGTTCATGTTAGTACATATCAGGATCGTATCAATCCAAATCAATATCATATCAAGTTCATGTTAGTTCATATCAGGATCTTATCAATCCATATCAATATCATGCCAGTACATATTAAAATCGCAAGAGTTATTGCTTCGGGTACACCCAAATTTCCCGACCGTTCTCCCCCATGGCATTCCGCAGCGTTCTTCCTCTTCCTTCCGTTGAGTTGCAGGTGAAAGGACAAAGGTATTTAATTTTTTTTCCTTTTCCTATCTGAGCAGGCTCCAGCTCACTTGGCTCTCTCTTT